CTGCGGGCGGCCCTGCAGAAGGCCTACGGCTGTCCCGTCCTGCAGGTGGGCAAGAGCGTGCCCGGCGCTTCCCCCGCCAAGGAGAGCGTGGCGGGCACCAAAGGGGTGCCCTCCTGCCCCAACGTGCTGCAGGCGGAAGCTCTGCTGGAGTCGGCCGACATGCTGTACGTCATCTACCCGTATGTGCAGTACTGTTTGCACGACATCGTGACTTTCAGCCCGGCCAAGCTCACCAACAGCCACGCCAAAATCCTCTTCCTCCTCTTCCACGTGCTGCAAGCCATGAGGGCGTGTCACCAGGCGGGTCCGCCTTTTCCCTTCGGGATGTGGCTGTGGATGAGAAGCTGTGCAGCAGGCTCCGTGTGAACTTCAGAGAGTACGAGGGACCCAAGGAGGAGGAAGCGAATCTGGAGGCTGGCCTGGAACAAGTGAGTGAGCAAAGCAGCGCTGGCGTGCGAGGGCAGGAGGCGAGTTGTGCCGCCTGCCAGAAGGACCTCCGAGACCTGGTGTTGCAGTGGGTACATGGGCAGGTCAGCAACTTTGACTACCTCATGCGCCTAAACAGTCTGGCTGGGAGGAGAATGGGAGACCCCAATTATCACCCGGTTCTTCCGTGGGTGGTGGACTTCACTACCAAAAATGGCAAGTTCAGGGACCTAAGGAAATCCAAGTTCCGACTCAACAAGGGAGACAAGCAGCTGGACTTCACCTATGAGATGACCAAGCAGGCATTTGTTGCTGGTGGGTCAAGTGGAGAGCAGCTCCACGTCCCCCATCACATCTCCGATGTCCTTTCAGATATCACCTACTATGTGTACACAGCTCGGAGGACACCCAAGGCAGTGCTGTGCTGCCATGTGAGGTCCCAGTGGGAGCCCAATGAGTACCCAGCCAGCATGGAGCGCATGCAGAGCTGGACTCCGGATGAGTGCATCCCAGAGTTCTATACAGACCCTTCCATCTTTCGATCCATCCACCCGGACATGCCCGACCTGGATGTGCCATCTTGGTGTAGCTCCTACGAGGAGTTCATTGAAGTCCACCGCATGCTGCTGGAGAGCCGGGAAGTTTCTCAGGACCTTCACCACTGGATCGATCTCACTTTCGGGTACAAGCTGCTGGGGAAGGATGCTGTCAAGGAGAAGAACGTCTGCCTCCACCTAGTAGACAACCACACGCATCTGACCACTTACGGGGTTGTGCAGCTCTTCAACCAGCCGCATCCCAGGCGCATGGTGGGACCTGCCTACACGCCTGCTGAAGCTCCAGCCATTGCCCGGCCTCTTCTCCACAACATCCGTGAGACTGTGCTTCTGGAGGATGTCCAAGGCCAGGTGACGGATGCAGTTAATGGACTGGTCCTGGAGGCTACTCCCAGTGAAACCACTTGGTCTGGGGAGAAAGCCATGGCTGGTGAGGATGATTTAGAGCAAGGCACAGAAGCCCTGGATTCGATTTCTGTTACTAGTAGAGCTGCTGATCAGCCCTGTGCCACTGTGCCTTCAGCACAGCCCTCCACCCACCCTGCTTATGCCACTGAAGGCAAAACCCCAGGTGCCCGACCTCTCCGTTGGAGCAAGGCAGGTGCTGTGGATCAGGCTGACATGAAAATCACACTTCCTGAAGGCTTCAATCCACTGCAGGCTCTGGAAGAACTGGAGAAACTGGACAATTTTTTGGTTAAAGGCTTAAGCAGTGAGATGCAACTAATGGAGCAGCCGTGGGAGGAGCCACCTCTGAGTCTCTCGGACCTCTTCCAGAGGGACATGCAAGCTTTGGGCATTCTGGTAGCTGAGATTATATTTGCACCAAGGATTCGTCCTTCGAAGCCCGACGCATCCCTCTTGGAGCGGTTCCTGCTGGTGCGTCATCTGTGTCGGTACCACCCCAAGGAGGTCCCGGCCCCGCTCCAGCATGTGCTGCAGGTCCTGCTGCAGCTGAGCGTGCCGGTGGAGAAGCTTCTGAAGACCAGGCTGGGCAAGGACGCGGTGCAGTTGTTTGAATACGAGCCCATCTCCCAGGGCCTTCCCCCGCCCTGTCCCACGCAGCTCCTCAGCCCCTTCAGCTCTATTGTCCCTTTCCCCACGTACTTCCCAGCCCTGCACAAATTCATTTTCACCTATCAGGCCAAGAAGATAGAGGATGAAGGTCAGGGCCGGGAACTTGTTTTCCAACTGTGGCAGCAGCTGGAGGGGATCCTTTCTGAAATCACTCCTGAAGGTCTGGAGATTCTTCTGCCCTTCATATTATCCCTGATGTCCGAGGAGAACACCGCCGTCTACGCAGCGTGGTATCTCTTTGAGCCTATAGCTAAATCCCTAGGTCCGAAGAATGCCAACAAATACTTGCTCAAGCCCTTGATCGGAGCATACGAGACCCCCTGCTACCGCCACGGCAGGTTCTACCTCTACACAGACTGCTTCATCGCCCAGCTGATAGTGCGCCTGGGGCTGCAGTCCTTCCTCCTGAACCTGCTGCCACACATCCTGCAGATCCTCGTCGGCATCGAGAGCTCGCGGGAGGAGAGCAAATCCCTCCTCGGCACGGCTGAAGATGATGAAAGCGGGGGGGAAAGCCCAGTGTCGTGTGTATTTGGGGAGGAGATCAAAATGGATGTGGAGCACAGCTCTGCTGCACTCGACCTCTTGGACTACACCTCTGGTGTCAGCTTCCACGACCAAGCCTACCTGCCCGAGAGCGAGGACTTCCAGAGCGGGCTCTACGTCGGGGAGTCGCTGCAGCCCCAGGAGCAGGAATCGCTCAGCCTTGGGCGGCTGAGCGACAAGAGCAGTGCCAGTGAAGTGTCCCTGGGAGAGGACAGACCTGTGGATGGGGATTCCCAGAAGGACAAGAGCAGTTTGAAGTCGGTGGACAGCAACCAGGACTTGAAACAGAGCGAGGATGAGGAAGAGGAGGAAGAGGAGCGTGATGAAGAGGAGCACGATGACGCCGCGGTTGATGCAGAGCTGACGGTGGCTGTGGATGCTGGGGCCTCTGTGGATGTCACCTTGGCTGATGACAGCAGTGAGCCAGAGGATGGAGAGGGAGAGGAGCTTCCGGATCACTCTGATGACAAAGAGCAGACCATTCTCCTGGGTAAGGCCCTGCTCATGTTCAGCCTTTCTGCCGAGTGCAGCAAACACCCAGCAAAGCAGCGAGCGGGAGCAGGGGAGAGCGTGGGAAGGAGTGGGTCCAAATTTGGGGGTGCCTGTGGTCCCAGCCTGGGGACAGTGATGAAACCAGTGTAAAAGGTTAGGTCTCCACTGAAGCGTGTGGAGTGAGGCCCAGGAAGCTGCCTGCAGGGCAGGCAGGGCCCGGGCAGCAGCTGGGTGATAGCTAATCTGAGCCGTGCCGGGCCCTGTGCTTGTCCCTGGTTTTGTTCTGCAGACACAGCCTGTAAGATGGTGAGGTGGCTCTCGGCCAAGCTGGGCCCCACTGTCACGTCCCGTTTCATCGCCAGGAACCTGCTCCGACTGCTCACGTCCTGCTACATCGGTAACGGCCGGGGTGGGCACACCCCAAAACGGTCTGCTGGGTGCCTGCTGGCTTGGGTGTAGCCTGCTGCTTCAGCTCACGGTGTTGTCTCTGGGCAGGCCCTACCAGGCAGCAGTTTGTACCAAGCAACGATGAGAACAGTCCCCTGAGTACAGGAAACATCTACCAAAAACGGCCAGTGCTGGGAGATCAGGTGTCCAAGCCAGTGCTGGCCTGTCTTGTGCACGTGGCGTACCTGTATGGAGAGCCTGTCCTCACCTACCAGTACCTGCCCTACATCAGCTACCTGGTCAGTATTGCCTTTTCTCCTCTTCTCACGTGTTGGGGTGAGAGCTCTGTCCAGGCACAAAAGGAATCTTAGAATTGTTCTGGTTAGAAGAGACCTTTAAGATCATTGAGTCCAACCGTTCCCCCAGCACTGCCAGGTCCCCACTAACCCATGTCCCTCAGCACCACATCTCCACAGCTTGGAAACCCCTCCAGGGATGGGGACTCCACCACTGCCCTGGGCAGGCTGGGACAGGCCTGGACAAACATTTCAGTAAAGACATTTTTCCTAATGTCCAACCTAAACTTCCCCTGGTGCAACTTGAGGCTGTTTCCTCTTGTCCTGTCACTAGTTTCCAGCCTCCTGTCAGGGAGTTGCAGAAAGGTAGAAGGTCTCCCCTGAGCTTCCTTTTCTCCAGGATCAACACCCCCAGGTCCCTCAGCTGCTCCTCACCAGACTCGTGCTCTAGACCCTTCCCCAGCTTCACTGCCATTCTCTGAACACACTCCAGCCCCTCAGTGTCCTTCTCAGAGCAAGG